GAAAGATGTCGTTCATCATATGCTGAAAGACCGCTGGAGCATTGGTAAGACCAAAAAGCATGACATTGTACTCAAAATGGCCATACCTTGTACGAAAGGCTGTCTTCCATTCATCTCCTTCTTTGATTCGCACAAGGTTGTAGGCTCCTCTTAAATCAATCTTTGTAAAAATCCTTGCACGTCCAAGTTGATCTAAGAGGCCGGAGATCAAAGGTAAGGGATAGTGATTTTTCTTGGTCACCTTGTTGAGTCCTCGGTAGTCCACGCACATCCGCAGTGAGCCATCCTTTTTCTTCACGAATAGGATTGGTGCTCCAACTGGCGACTTTGAATGTCGAATAAAATTCTTGGCTAGATTCTCATCGATGTACTTCCGCAATTCTGCCAACTCCGTCTGCGATAGGTTGTATATTGGACCAAAAGGTGGTTGCGCTCCTTCCTCTAAGTCTATGGCGCAATCATATGGTCGATGTTCCGGCAGTATATCGGCGTTCTTCTTCTCAAACACGTCTTCAAAATCCCTATATTGCTCTGGTATATTCGATGTTGAGATATTCTCGCCGCTAGTTGGAGCTGCATAAATGACAAATGGTGCGCCTTCCTTGGACGATCTTAGGAACGCTCTCGCTCCAATAAACATGGATTTCTTCATGTAGGTTCTACCAACAAGTTTATTATTATTTTTTTCAGGAAATGTTATCCTTCGTAGCCTCCAATCAATGGACGGATTATGATCTTCTAACCAAGAAAGACCAAGGATAACAGGGCTTGATGGGGTTCTAATAATATTAAAAATAACGTGACTACTATGGTCCTTAAACACCACTTCTATAGGTTCTGATTCGTGGATAACGTTGCCTGACAATAAGGGTCGTCCATCTATCACCTCTACGTGAACAGGTTTGGACTTTTGTACTAAACGGATCTTGTGGCGTTTAGCAAACTCTTCATCTAAAAAACAAGTAGATGCCCCCGAATCCAATAAAGCTAAAGTTTTTTGTTTTTGAGGGCCTAAAAACAAAGGAATTGTAAAACAACAGGCAGGTTGGACAAAGAAGGAGGAACCTGATTGTTGTCGTGATATTAGATTGTCCAGCCACACGGTTCCTACTGTGGCTGGGCATCGTCGTTTTCCGGAATCATCGCACTTCTAGTCTTGACAGGGTGCCAATTTTGCTTCTTTGGGCAATTTCCAACCTTGTGACCTTCTTCTCCACAGTACAAACATAATCCTTCCTCCATACGCCGTTTCTTCTTTGTTGGAGTAAGAGATCGGACACGCGCCGTGTCGATTTACATGTCTGTTGCCTCCGAATGTGAGTTTAAGCTATTTGCAGACATAGTCACGTCGTAACGAGTCATTTGGTGTCTTGGACGTTGGTCTTGGCGACGCTGGAATAGGCGGTTGTCACACTTTACAGCTTGGCTAATAGCTTCATTGAGCGTTTGAGGATCAGGAAGAGATAACAGCAAGTCCTTCACATCATCCTTCAAGCCTCAATAAAACTGACTCACCAACGCCTCTTCACCTCAATTAATGTCACTTGCCAATTGTCTAAAATCCGAGGCATAGACTGATGCAGAGCGTGTTCCTTGTCGTAGCGATCGGATCTTTGTTGTAGCCCATCGAACTTTATCATGCTCGCCAAATGCTTCTGCAAACGCCTCCAAGAACGTTTCAAAGTTGCTCAAGATTGGCGATCGCTTCTCGAACAAGGGAGTAAACCAAGACAGAGCTTGTGTTATAAGCAAGGTTCCAACAAGCCCAACACGCGCTTCCTCCGTCGGATAACGTTCGGGCTGTAAAATTGTTATCAACCTGATTTGGTTGACAAAACCTCAAAACTTGGAACGAGTTCCATCAAACTTATCCGGAAGACTAACTCGAGGCTCCTTTCGTTGTAGAACTACTCGATCTTGTTGAAATGGAGGTAGAACTGCTTCTTCTGGCGCAGAAGTTTGAGGCTGATATGCTTTAGATGGCGCTATCCCAGATGCTCTATTGTTATGGAGTCCTACCATGACTCCTTCGATCTCTGTTGTCCTATGTGACAACGAGGCAAGAGCATTTATGATGGCGTCTAGTTTGGATTCCAAACTTTCAGCCATTTTAACGTCTTAACCTTCGGCTAACCTTCAGAAAGAAGAAAAAAGAGTTTTGACAAGAGGACAATATTGGTTCAGAGGAGAGTACTCCGCAACCTCTAAAACGCCTTAAGACTCCAAGATGAGGGGTAATCCACTCTCTCCAAGAAGAATAAGGCTCCAATATTGAGAAAGAAGAGATATCAGTTTAGAGGAGGGTAATCCGCAACCTCTAAAACACTAGCACACCTTCAAGAAGAGGGGTAATCCACTCTCTAACAAGAAGGAACTAGCTCTGATACCAGTGAAAATGTAATCTCAACAAACTGTCACGGACACAAAATACAGACTTGAAATCTAACAAGAAGTTCAAGAAGAAGTGGCAGAACTAAATTAAACATATGAGTACAAGAACAACACCAGAAAGGTGAGCTAGAACTCCAAGAGATGTGTTGTCGAGACTGAAGAACCCTTCAGCCTTGACTCCTATATATACTACTGAATAGGAAGCTTCTCGAGCTACTTCCGCTAACTAGGACGCTTCTCCAACAACTTCTACTAATTAGGAAACTTCTCGAACAACTTCCTAGAATCTATCAGAATATTCTAGAACCTTCTAATAGAATCTTTAGGGAATATTCTAAGAATCTTCTAGAATCTTCTAAATGAATCTTTAGAGAATCTTTAGAGAATATTCTAGAAGAATATTCGAAGAATCTTCCAATGTATGTCCATGACAATGTGTCATGGAAAGTTAACATGTTTTTAGAGGTCCTATAGAATGTTGGTACATAGATCTTAAGTAAAAATTATTTATAAAGGTAAGATTGAAGACTTCTTTTTTCTTATCAACTCATTTTTTGTTTCTAGTCTAGTTTCAAGAGTCTCTAGTTTTCTTAGCTTTTGGCAATAACCATTCAATTTTTTTTTTAATATACATATTTTTCTATTTCTATTTTGTCATATTTCTTTAAGAGAGTCTCACTTATTTATTTACTTTCATTGAGTTTTTGTCCTTGATACTATATTATTTATTTATATGCTAGCATATAAGATGAAATATTTTTTATTTTTTATTTTTTATGATAGTTATTTCTTTCTATTGATAGAATATATATTATCTTATTATTATATATACTTATCAAGGACATGAATCTTAAATAAAATAAACTCAATACACTCTAATGTCACTCAAAAAGATTAAAATGTCAATCAAAGATGATAATATATTCAACAAAAATGGCTATTGCCAAAGACAAGACTAGAAAGTCTTGAAATAAGAATAAAGACTAAAAAAATATTGACAAGAATGAAAGAGGCTTCACTCCTACCTCCACATATACTATATAACTAAGAGCTACATGACAATATTTTGTAGAACCTTTAATACATGTTGACTTTGCAAGACACATATTTTAACTTGGAAAGTAAGTAATCTATATCAACACCACATATTTACCTTGTCCTACAAGCTATCAACATGTGAAATACGTGGTTAACTTGTTGACTAAGTTTCTAACCACCAATCAACTACAAACACGTGCAAAGTCAAAACTGCATTTATGAAGCCTTTGTGAAATTTTTTTAGAAGATATTATGAAATTAATCTATTTTTTCTTATTTCTACGTAATTATATATGTAATTATTAAAATAAATATGTATGTTTGTAACAACACCACAAATAAAAAACTTATAATAAAGACCATCTTATTTTGAATCTTTTATATCTTAGAAGAATAACTTTTATAAATATTGTTTGTTTTTAAGAAAAATGACTTTTAAGATCCTTGCCATAGAAAGATTTTGATCAACTTGTAGATCAAAGATGAAATTTGATTCAAAATTCTTTTTATTTGAGAATATTTTTTATATGTATATGATATTATTTTTGGTAGAATATATATACCTAATTGACATAGATTTGAAGTGATGTTATTAAATTAAGCTTGCCAAATATTAACTACAAATCTTCTATGATACATCAATCATATGAATATAGCTTCTCTATTAGGTCCAAGTTTAAACCACATGTATTTTTGTTTGAAACTAAAATTGTTATCATCTTTATCTTACTACCTTGAAGATATTAAATTCTAAAAGATATAATATTATAGAAGTTTGTGGTTTAATTTTGTATTATAGGTCATCAAATTTGATCTATAATTATTATAATATACATATGGATGAAAAGAAATTAATTCAATTTTCTCAAAAGAAAAACATTTAGTCTGCACCATCTAATAATTTTTCTATAGATACAACTATTACTTCGATTACTACAATAAAGCTACTTATCTTATCAGTCTCCAATTCTATGGTGCTTTGGAAACTATGTGGAAATTTTTTGTGAGATAGAAACTTGTTCCCACATTCAAACCAAAAAAACATTGAACACTTCATGGTATAGTACACAATATATTACTATTAAAACTCTACAAAAAAATCAATGTAGGAATTAAGGTGTGTAGGATATGAAAAAAAATACTACATTGTTTTAGTTGTAATTTGATGGTCTTCTCCAATTTCGCAATGTTCTGAAGCTCAGTGGAATGAAAGTGAAAAACTTAACTAGAACGAAGCACATATTTTCAATGGCAAGTGTTGGTGAGAAATGTGAAAAGGATGACGAAGAATTTCACATAAGGGCACTGAGCAACGCTTCGTCGACGATTTTCGTCGTAAATAAGAGTCGTCAGCACGCAGGACGACCCAGCGCAACGTGGACGCGCGATGCACGACGCTGGCCAGGCATTCCGTTCATCCGGGAAGATGGACAGCACAATTCATCGATAAATGTAGTTATTCATCCAAACAGGAAACTCCAGCAGGAAGGGCACTTTAAAGTAAAAGCTAGCTATAGAGAGGTAGAGAGAGGGTGGTGGTAGGGTTGCTTGCTTGCTTGCTGGTCCCCCTTCCTCACTGGCCTTACTTACTCACTTGTGTTGTCGCGCATCTTCTCCCTCCCTCCCTCCCTCCGTTGCATTGCATTGCATCGCATCGCATCACTTGCATTGCTGCTCCTCGTCTCCAATTCCCTTCTTCCCTTCTCTTACGTGTTTACCTGCTCCAGCTCCAGGTGAGCGCCGCTCACACTTCTCACTCTCCCTCCCTACGTTCGCTGTCTGTTTGTGTTATGGCTCTGCTTTGGATTTCCCTCTTTTCTTCTTTTTGCGACTCTGTTGAAATGATGTTCATCTCTTTCCAATTACGGATTCTGGTTGATGCATCACTTATTTGTAAATAGTCTCCCGCTGCCTGTGTTCTCGCTTCTTTCCATGGTTAGGGCCGAGTGGTCATTGTGTCGAGGGGTAAAGAAAGGGTCAATTGGACCGGTCTGTTATATCCTGCCGATGCCATGGTAGTAGTCTGAGTTTCCTTGTCTGTCTCTTATGGTTTTCTGCAGTATTGAGTACCACATCGTCTAGAAGAATCTGTGGTTTTAGATATTGCGAATTATGATTTAGTTGACTCGGAGAGTTTTACTGGGATTTATCCCTTGCGTGTCACCAATGATTGGCTGTAGGATTAAAATAGAGCGTCTCGGGAAATTTAGGATGTCTTGATCTGCCTCTAAATTCTTCTGAATTCTTTAATCTGCTTAGTTCTGTTCTATTGCCTTCCTTTTTCTGTTTTTTGTTTCATTTTAATTTTCGTCTTTATTGGATCGACCCTGGTATGAACCTCTGCTTATTGAAGTATACTTTTGTTCACTATAGTTTTCGGGGGTTTCCTGAGTTGGGAGTGTACTGCTCTCGGTGTGTAGGGCGAGTCTTACTGTTGTCAATTTAGTTGAGTGATGATTCTTGATGCCTTTCCCAGGCTTTGGTCGGATGAGTGGTTGCCTTTCTCGAGCACGTGACACATCATATTTTAGTAAAAATATTGCTTGAAACGGGAATTTATCCTTTTGGATTTTATTTAATGTTGTACACGAGCTTGTGGAAGTGCATACTGATGTCAACTTGATGTTTGATTAGGGTTTTAGAATACCTGCAAGCAAAATTATCAATCAATGGGGCTCACACCAGCCAGCAATTCTCCAGTGTCGGTACCTCCTGATCAGGTAAACCTTGAACTCAAGAAAAATAGTTACAAGCATGAAAAAGTATGCCATGTGGATTTGAAGTTTCAGGTCACTATCGTATAATCAGTGAAAGCTATCTTCACAGACGCCTATTAGAGACTAGGTATCAACAGTACGCTATTGTGAAGTTTGAGACCGTTCTCTTTAGGAGATGATGGTTGTCTACTTTATGCGATTAAGTGAGCCAAGTTAACCATTTCTTCCACTTTGTAAATTGCACGTGAGAAAACGGGTCATCTTAATCACCTATTACATCTTTCTGTGGTGTGGAACTTTGAATCACAAGGTGGTGAAAAGTTGTTGTGCAGGAAACGCTATTCGAATTTCGAGCTGGGAAAATGATTGTGAGAGGGACACATGTCACTCCAGACCCAAGGAAAGGCCTCGTGAGGCTTGTGAAGGTGAGTTTATCTTACATGTGAAACTTTTGTAGCATCTAGGAACTGAGTTAGTGCTATTGCACATCTCTTTTCGAAATGAATAGCTGGACAAAAGGTATTTTAGCCGCCCGAAAAGTCTGCTCAAAACAAAGTTCCATCACCTCGCGATCGATTAGAGCTTTATGTAACAATCCCTGTCTTTGAAAGGGATCCAATCGCTACAAATGATCTATCTCAGTTGTGTCTGTCATCGTGTGATAGTAATTGATTAGGTTTGAAAGAATATTGCCACTGATGTTTGAGTGGTATTAGTAAACAGTAGCTTGCAAATTTAGTCTTTATTATTGCATGTGGTTGATGTCGTTCTAACGTTATGCGTAATATGCAGGCTGAAGATACACTGTTGCATTTTCAGTGGTGGGATAGAGCTACATTCACTTTGGAAGATGTATCCTTCTTATGAATTTTAACATTCAATTTTCGTTGTAAGCACGAATTCATACGAGTGACATGCTCATGTTTTAACCTTAACAGTTAGCGAGCTCCAGGAACTTGTAGTCGCGAGATGTGGTCCAAGTTTATTAACACTTGCCTAAAGTACACGCACTATCGCTCTGGAGTTGTGTGCACTGTTTTACCTTATAGCTCTCCTTGACCATAAACTTCACAGGATCAAATTATTTTTCCAGAAGAAGCTACTTTTGAAAAGGTATTGGAGTTTTTTGTTTCTGTAAATTAGCTGGTTTTGACTCGTATATATGGAGGTTTTTCTATTTTGATTTCATGTTGTTCGTGTGCATGCCAAGGATAGAGCTCTCATCTTCCTCTAGTTAAGAAAAAAGTCGTTTTTTCTATTAGAGATCATTGTGGAGTATTGAGAAACTGATTCACCCGATACGGCTTTTACAAGGGTTTGTTTATTGATGTGTTAGGTTGGCCAGTCTTCCGGGCGAGTTTACCTACTGAAGTTTAAACATGACGATCGCAAATTCTTCTTCTGGATGCAGGTATAATTGTCTTTTTCGTTTGTAAGTCCATTAGAATTTGGCTCTTACAAGTAATTGGTTGACTCGTTTCACTTAAAGAACTAGTCCTCTCATTTCTTATTTTAGCAGCTTCTACTCTGATCATAGAAAATGCAGTTTTGGTAGGCTTCTCAACTGTTCAGCATTACCATTGTCTTTCGTTGATAGAGGAAATAAATAGTGTGGATTTAATATGAAGGTTTCTGTATTATTAGTATTATGATTGCTTGCTGCGCGTGCTCTTCACTTACTCTAGTGCAGTTTCACGATGGTTTAGTCTTATACTAGGTAGATATGAAATTGCACAATTCGAACGTTAGTAATTAAGTTGAATACTCTGTTTGCAGGAGGCAGATAAGGATATGGATGCCGATCTTTGCAACGTTGTGACGCATCATCTCAATCATCCATTAGGTGCGTGTTAATCAGGATTTGCCTTGATAGATGTCGATGAAGCTCAAAACAGATCTTTCAGTCCTTCTTTTGTATCTGGTGAATTTTAAGGTCAATTTAAATTTTACACAGAACTAACGAAAGATGAATTATGGATCAGTAATTCAATGGTCCACGTTGTACTTAGAGCGGATGAATTAAGGAGCCATCCTACAGGTCGGTTTTAGTGGGTGGGGTTTGAGAGCTTTGAAGTGTTTCGTAGCCTATAATATGAAGAAAGTTTTGAATTCATTCAGTAGAGGATTGTAAAAAATCATGTCATAGCATGCAAGTTAATAATTCAACCACTGTATTAAATTAACTAATTATTCGGTTACACTTCATTCTGTGGATTTTATAAGAGTTCTTGGACCCATGATTACACAAGACATATATTTGGCGTACAAAATTGTAAGCTGCTTGTCAATACACCGAAGGATTCATTTTTCTTGACTTGTTTCCAAGCCAGAAATGTTTTCATATCTGAAAGATGGCACTTAAATTAATTCTGGGGCTTGCCGGCGCAGAATCTGATGGTGAAGACGAACTGGAAGATTCTCCACAGCCTTTATCAGAGAACTCAGACGCAATGGCTGGCGACTTGCTTGAAGCAACGGCTACTTCCAGGTAGTTTTAATGGATACTTGCTAATACCTGGAAGAATATTTCGAGATATTGCATGAGAAAGGTAGTTTTAGTTTTTAATCTTAATTTTCTTCTGAAATTCGTATGAAGTAATGCAATCGTTAATTTCTAGGGTCTTTTCTCTTTTCTTTTTTGTTTTTCTTCAGGGACTTAGCTGGTGGCTCTTCGTACTTGCCAAGTAGTACTCCTGGAAGTACAAATGCAGGAGTGGTCCAGATGGCAGATCTTCAACGGATACTAAGTGGACTTGGACAAGCTGCTGGTGCTGACATTACTTCCCTTGGTTTGAGCTTTGCTGTTTTCTGTCCCGCCACCAGATGTTGTAAGCACATATTGGTTAATTAAGTGTGGGGCTGAAAATTCTAGATTCCGATTGTTTACTCACTTTTCAAATACATGTGTGTTTTCTGTGTAGATGGGCACATGGCTATGGCAAGGGATACAGGTGCATTGCGCATTGCCTTCTCCGTCTGGGTAGATTTGGTGATCGTGAAGGCTTCAGCCATCATATCCGATTATGTTTATCCTTTTTGGATTAGGGTTAGGTGGATTTTGTCAAAGAGCAGATGTTAGCGGAAGTTACGAGGATTCTCTAATCCCTATGACTCTTTAATGAGGATTGATTGCGTTAATAATCGGTTTTTGCTCTTCAGGTCCAGGATTTTCAGAACTCTTAAGACCTGATATAGTGAGGCCCTTACTGGACACCTTACAACTTGAAGAGCGACTTGCTCCCTTCTTGCCAGAGGTACTTTTTTTTTTACAACTTTCAGCTGGTATTCTGGTTTTTATTGACGATATATCCTTTGTGCTTATCTTCGCTTTTATTTTTTATTTTTTATTTTTTTGTGAGATGATGCATGTATTTATTTTCTCAGTGGTATGTATTTTATACTTCGACTTTGGTTGTGCAGGGAGTTCGGACAAAGCAAGCCATTGCTGAGTTGATGCAAAGCCCGCAGTTTCATCAACAACTTGATTCTTTCACTCAGGTTTGTCCTCTTGTAGTACTGCATCTCTACCCATGTAGTTCGATCTACAGTTCGAGTTACAGCGGTGTAATTAGCGACTGACTTTTGGCCAACGTACATACATTATGACTAACTGTGATTTTATGCTTTGTTGCAGGTGATTCGAAGTGGCCAGATAGATCTGTCACAATTTGGTATCGACTCTAGTCGATGTAAGTGCATGACCTGCTTAATGAACTGAATTTTTAACCTTTTGTGCATGACCTGCTTAATGAACTGAGTTTTTATCCGTTGGAGCCGTTTGTTGTGTTGGGTTCTTGTGTCTTGTTTACTTCGTTGTTTGTTTTACTTAATTTCATGTTATCTCTTGATTGAGGCATTCTTTCTCTACTCTGACCGTTAGTGAGGTTTTAGCGTGTTCAGAATACATCTCGTTGGATGATTTAATGTGGAAGTTTTAGTTCTTGGCAATGCATTATACTTATAGTCGCTTCGTGGATGTGTGCAGATAACTACACTGTGGTTTCCTTTCTGGAGGCTATCGAAGACCAAGCTTCATCTGGTTCAAATGACCAGGAGCTTGAACGAAGGACTGATGTGATGGAGGAAGGTCAATAGTCAACCTTTGTAATTAGGCCATACTAACTAAAATACAGAGCTGTAGTAATCAAATATGGATTCCATTGGTTCTACTGATATCTCAGGATTTGTATGCATCAATTTACAAGCAATCGGAGGTCAGTTTACTACGTGTATGACAGTCGGGTTTTTTTTCTGTATCAGTTGCACATTTAGATAAGACCAGACTCTCTTTCATAAGGCAGACCAATGTTTTGATTGCATGTATACACCAAAGGTCTAACTTGTGAGATAATCTAAGCCCCGATTACTTGTAGCAACTGCCTAACATTCGCTGATGAGAAACTCGTTGGATCTTCGACTGGAATCCGTTGTAGCCCTAGGTCAGTTACATCGCCTTATCCCTAGTGATAAACCCCAAAACCTTCGATGCCTGGTATTGCCACATACAGATCTTCCCTTTCACAATTTCTTCAGGGGAAATGCGAGTCCTCTTAAGGAAACGAGGTGCAATTCTCTACAGTCATCGAATCCTCCACCCTCGCACTCCTAGCCTCTACTGCAGCATTGATCTCCGCAACATGTTAGAGGTGGATTTGCCTCAGGCTTCGTTGGTGCCTGATACCCCTGACAACTTCGGTACTACGATTCATCCCTTCGACATAATCCGGACTTGTGTCTCAATTGTTTCCTCATGGTTACGGTGAGCCTCTCCGTGTTACCTGACCTCGCATGATAATGTGTTCATTACGCCCATGTTCGACACCATGTCCTTGCGGATATCGTAACAGACTGCCTTACATTTGATGTGGCGCAGAATTTCTGGTTGATCGACATGTGCCAAACCCTTGCTCAAGCTGGGAAGAGAAAGAGCACCGAATACAAAAAGATTTAGGGGTCACATCGTGGTCCGGGATACTAGGTGCAGCCAACGCCTTTTACCACGTCCATGACGTTGGTGCGGAAGCCCAGGTGTTAGATCTGGTGGAGCCTGCAGAGCCCCGCAAATCTGCCTATTTCAGAATGCCTATGCCAGTATTGACTTCAATACAGTTGGTCATGCTTCTTGGAACCTTTTTCACAGTGGGTTTTGACTTCAACTCTCCAACAGTTGCTTTCAGTGGATGGAAGTCAACTAGTATAACCTCGTAAAACTCCCACGACTTTCCAAAACTGACTAACTGCAGGATGAGACAGAATAGGTCTCAAGCTAGTACTGGCAAGGATGGACATCCCTGGTGCTTAGTCGAAGAGCTGACTAGAAACAGTTCCATAAACAAAGGGAAGCCAGCTGAATCTAGGGTTACTGCCTTAAACAGGGTTGCGTGCTACGAATCGTCCGTTCTTAGACAATTACATCACAGTCAAGGGTGATGTGCCTTTTCATTGTTCCATTACTATGGGAAGCAGTGCACGTTGAGGATCCACCAAAAGGATCTGCAATTTGAGATGATGTAGTGAAGTGCGTTTCTCGGACTGCCACTAAAATATTGTGCTGCATTAGATGGTCCACAACCACTTGCAGCTCCCTCTTAGTTTAGAAGTCGTAAAATACATTTGCAAATTAATTCGGCAACCTCAATGGCTCCCTCGTGCTCTTTACTTGTGTCTCGTTTTTCGATTAACTTGCTTTGATAGTCGATTTGAAGGATCATTTTTGAGACAAATATGAAGAACCATGATGATGATGATGATGATTTGGATTTTCCGTCTGCCAGTGGCGACCCAATTTTGGATTGTGGCCAACGTGCACTCGCAGCCGCACTTATTCAGGCTTGCGTTCACGCTACGGTGACGCATCAGCTTCATGCCACCTTTATGGCAGTAGTCACAGAGAAAGCATCTCAAAAGAAAACGCTGCGGTGAGTTCTGATTACTTCGTCTTTCAGATTATCCTGACAGAGTTTGCAGTATGTTTCAAACTCATTCATGCTTTTGGTGGATGGTAATGCGATTGAGACCTGGTGACCCGTTGGCTCCAAGCTTTCTCAATTGAGATACGACAGCCGAGGCTCCCACCCTTTCCTCATGAATCACTCATTAAAAACCAGGCCTCAGCGTTTCTATGCAACATCCGAAATCCTGATACTGAGGATGCGGGACAAATTTCCACCGAAAGTAGTTCTCCTCAGAGTAAACCTCATGGGGATTAGAGGCAATTGCATGGGGGCAACCGTTGCGAAGATTTCCTCAACGTCGATGTTTTCTGGTTTGACAACCGGAAACTTCGGATCCACTGCTCCCTCTTGCACACACGTGATGTTCCGAAATTTCTACGTAACAGTCTTTTTCATTCAACTCTACGAAGATTTCTACGTAACAGTCTTTTTCATTCAACTCTACGAAGTACGCCGTTGCTGATACCGAACGATTCCGGTAAGTGTTTGTTTTTTTCTTTTCTGGCGTGTCGTGGAGCATATGGTCCTGCAGACAGAGAGAGAGAAAGTGGGAAGAAGCAGGCGATGACGGAGAGTCCGAGGATCGAGCCAGAGAGTGAAGCAGAATCATGGTGCACCGAGAATCAAGCATGATGGGTCAAGGAGGGCCGAGCACCCCACCCCCACTCCACCCACTTCTTCCTCGTTCACGTTCTCGACAGCGAATCGTTGGTGTCGGTGGCGCCAATCGACGAAGTGGGTGACGAAGCAACTCGGTCGGAGAGCTTGCTAGGCTGCCACGGTGGAATAGTGGGGACCAAGCGTGGTCCATGCAGAGCATGCAGCACACTAACAGGGAGTTATAACAGAGAATACACAACTGACGATGAGGATGAGGATGCTGCATTGATAACTACAGACTGTATGTTACGAAGTATAAATATATATATATATATATATATATATATATATATTTGTCATTCTGTTTTGAAGTTAAATGCCAAGATGCAAAATTATACAGATACTTTTCTAAAGCTACAGAGTTCCCATGTCAGTGAGTGGATGCGGATAAACAAAAATATCAATTTAAAATTGCACGACGCTGAGCCTACTGTGGAGGTTAACTAAAAAGTAAACGAGAAGTTCAGAGCCTAATTTAGAAAAACTCTAATTGTCTCCGGATAAAATTAAAAAATTCTGATTGCAAAAATCAATATATATATATATATATATATATTTCTGTAGATAATGGACAAAGATGATTCAATTTTCTGTAGTGATCTTTATTGAAATCCTTTAAGTGATGTGAGAAGAGGTGATAAGCAGTTTATTTTTTTAATAAAAAAGCGTTCGGATTTTTGAATGAGATTCAAAGAAGTGACAATACAAGCTTATAAAAAGTATTGATCCCTCACAATTTTTGTTTCATAGTTACGGTAAATTTTAATGACTCTGTTTATTAGAAAATTATTATGCATACATACACTTAGAATTCAAAATGTTTTTTTTTTCATAGTTATTAATACAAATACGAGTAAAAAAACTCATAGTCTTAAAGTCATTGAAAAAAAAGTTAAAATATAATACAATATGTATTTGGACTTAAATACAAGAAAATCAATACATTGTACTGGATTTTCTTAACATTAAAAAAAGATTTGATTCAAAAAATATACCATATAGTACTATTTCATCAAATGTATAATAAATGTACGAGATATACTTGAATTTTGAATTCAACTATTGTAGAATATTGGTTCGTCTGAGTAGCTTCCATTGAAGGGTGAGTGTTGCAGCAACAACCTTTGAAGCTGTTTCAAAGGAGAAAAAAAGAAGATATTGAAAAAGCATTTGAACATGGCAAACATTGTTAAACAAAACTAATGATTTACAAACTGTTATGCTTAATCAACAACAAGACAACTATACATACATATGCAAAATATATGAATGTGCATATGAAGTTAAATATATATATATATATATATATACACATGTGTCAAAATATAAAGCTAAAAGTGAAGTGATAATGTATATATTATAAAATGAATTTATCATTGAAGATAGAAAAGATTACAAACAACTCCAAGACATGATTCTTTTAAAAATAAACTACTTTTGACAATGTATAAGACATAAACTTCTTAAGCAAAATCTTTCAGTCTATAAATGATAATTTTATGATTGCACTTAAGATTTCTAACTAATCATAAAGACTTACTTGAACATGATTCCCTCAACCATTTCATTTTTATTTCTTATAAGAATTGAGTGTCTCTATTTATTACTAGTTTTAGTTACATAGTAATTTAGACCCAAGTTTATTTCACATTATTTCACTTATTTATATATATAAGAATGTGAAATAGACCCAAGTTTTTACTAAATTGACCCACCCATCCTAACCATAAAGAGTGACTCTATTTAGAAAAAGTATGGGTCTATTTAACATTCCCCTACATACATGTGTATATTAGTTTTAAATTGTTAATTGTTATAAAGCCCACAAAATCAAGAACTGGGTTTCAAAACTTATAATTCAATCATTCTTTACAAGTTGATTCTTATGAATTTTATACATGTATTCATATTACGATTGGACTTGTGCAAACTTCTATATATATATATATATATATATGAGACAAAGTTGATAGAAAAATGATATTGTACCCTGCTCTCAGCATATATTTTACTTCTGCTGCGATGCCTTCTTCTGCGTGGGGGTGGGGGATTCCGTTGAACGGCAAAAGCATCGGAGACAGGACGAAAGGATGCTTAGCCCCGGACCCAGTTCCTCCTGCTGCTTCTTCATTCTTGGTGTGCCAATCATTGTCACTGACATCACTGGCCATTGAATGCTACAGCCCCCAACTGCCTCGTCTCTCTCTCTCTCTCTCTCTCTCTTTTGTTCTTTTGTTTTTGTTTTTGTTTTTGTTTTTTTTATAGTTTTTTTTTCTCTGCTGCTTCTGTTCCTCGTCTCCTATTTGCTCTCTCCCTTGGACCTGTCTGCCATGTAGTCTGAATCTGTTCGTTATGGCATTTGCTTAACAGATAACGTTCAGTGGATCGACTGCCCAGCACTTTTTCCAACAGCTTTGAATTCACTCATTGATGAAGAGCATATGAGGGAGTTTCCCGAACAACTTGACCGACAGTACGATTTCAAAAACACCAAAATATATATATATATATATATATATAAATAAATAAATAAATAAATAAAAATATGTTTGGTGTTTCAGTATGAATAATTTCCCCACTGCTTGTTCTCGTGGCATCACAAACTTGAACAAATAAATAATTGGTGGGGGAAAAAATATGGCAACTATTTGTAAATCATACACAACATACGGCTCATTTTTGGTCACATATTATTCTGAAATGGTCACATGTTAGTCGAAAAGGGAGTTTGGTGGTTCTTGTTGATGACATCATTCCTAGCTTCAAACACAATTGTTTGCTACTACGAGCAATATAAAAAAAAAATCATGTCATTTAAATTGAATTGGAATCATATCCTATCATCTAGAGTGTCTTCCAAAATAGAACATTCTTGAAATTGTGATAAGGTAACACTGTAGAGTCCATGGCCATTTTTAAAGAAAGGCACTGTTCATTTTCATCTTTTTCCGGGGAAGAACCTCACCTCGAAACGGCAGAAGATTTTATCCACTTTCGTGCAGCATGAAGGTTTGGATCCAGACTTCGTCGTTTCCACGGAATTAACCACGGCACAGGATGCATGGCCACATAGAAATCTTGTGAAGCCATCAATCATACAACCAGCTTGGCCTTGCGGTGGTGAAAATGTCTGTAGAAATGAGCTACAGAACCACCATTCTTGCACATCATTTCTTCGTTAATTGCATGAGCTTCTCTGTATCTCGATGATTTATTCTCAACAAAAATACGTCGCCAATAATAATGCAGTATGTATGTATATATATATATATATATATATATATCTATGTGCATACACACATATACACACACGGACGCACTCTTATGTGTTGCATCAGTAGGTAAGTATTAGAGAAGAATTCGTTCATCGTATGGAGAATTGCTGTAAAGTATCTATAAATTTCAACTAGTCCGGAGAGGGTATTGATATTCTGAAATGAACAGTGCCTTTTCTTTAAAAAATCGATCATACACATGTGGAAAAAAAGGGAGAAAAACCAGGAAAAAGAAAAGAAAAGAAGCACAAAGCCAGCATAATGCGGCTGCTACTGGGATGCCTTTCTACCAAGAACCACCCATGGGCACAAAGCACCGAGACTTGAGGTTACTTTTAATGTCAATTCCGCCATGTTGTGCTCATTCTAGTACCGTGAGCATGAAAGTAACCATCAAGGCGCTGGCTCACTTTTGTGTGAGCTCTTGGTATCACAATCTGAGAGATCTCGAAACCTCCCAACACAGATTCAACGAGAGATTCATCAAGTGATGAAATCAGACACACCGCACGATCCGCAAATCTAGCGAGCACGTTGACGGAAAGCCTCCTCTTTCAGCTGCTGCGCTGAAATGAAACGGATCCCACATCGTGAATGCGTGCTAGCTAAAGCCTGTACAATGATGCAGCATGCAGAATTATGCGTAGACGGGGTGCAGGCTCAAACTGGCTGCTGCTGCTGCTGGCAAGTAGTTCAGCAGCTGCAATGATCCTGCCTCCGCTTCTCCTTGGGCCATCATCTCCTCAAGATACTCAGGAGCTGGCAAATTCAAGTCCAGCACTGCCTCTTTCACGGGCCGGCTCGGTTGCCCCCCTTGCACACCTTGACCTTGAACTGCCTTGGCACTCGTGACCTCGCCCGCTGCACCTCCACCACCCCAATGGCACCTCTTGTGGCCGCCCAAAGCTTGCCCAGAGTTGAAAACGCGGTGACAAATGGAGCACTCGTGGGACTTGTTCTTGCGGGCCGTGGTCGGCATCTCCTCGTTGTCAGCCCTGATCGCCTTGTCTTCCTCTAGACTGGTGAGGGAAGTCTCTGGGAGCTCCTGGAGCAGCTTCTCCTCAAACTTGGCATTGTGTTGCTCCGAATCATCATCCGCATCCATGGAAGTGTCCATGCTGTGGTCTAGTGCTCCGCCATCGTCAGGGTTGGTGCGAGCGAAGCACCCCTTCACCTTCTTGTGGCTGGCTCTATGGCCTCCCAGCGCTTGGTGAGATTTGAATTGCCTCTTGCACGTTGCACATTCGTACTTTGGTCGTGTGCTGGTGCCTTGCTCCCCTGCGGAACAAGAATAGGTTGCTATTTAGTAAACTAATTTTTTCTCTCCATGCCTCAGGTACATATTGGTGTCCCAAATTCGATGCACACAATGGCAACACTAGAACGCGTGACCAAAACTGTGACAAGAGCACTCACCAGCTTCAAATTCATCGACGCATTCTTCAGTATCCTCACATGGGCTGGCTGCTTCGGTTTTTGCATCTCTTAGATTCACGTCTTCTGTCTCAGATTCCACCCCAAATTCGGGTGTCCGCGATTTGCTGCCATGGGACTCTGGCGTCGACATGAGCACCAGCTTCTCCATGTTTGGGTTGCATTGAAGCAACATGAGCGTCTCAGCCATGTCCGTGGACTCCGCCGCAATATTGCCCTGGCTACTGGGGACCCATTCCTTCTTCGCGTTGCTCACAGCGTCCAGAGAGCGATGCGTTTGACGCGACCGCTTCGACCGCGTCGACCATGTGGTTCCATAGCCCATGTCCCGGTCGCCATTGGACATGTACGCTGCCTCAATGCTCTCCGTGTCACTCTCATCGTCGGATGCCTTGCTCCATACATGCGTGACGCGCCTTGAATTCAAGGATGCAGATATCTCGACATTGTCCTCCCGAGCCGGCGCAGGTGGCGGATGGACATGGAGCACTGGAGCCGGTCTCCTCCTCCTGGAACTGGAATGATTCCCACCGCTACCCTGGCCCCGGGCATTGCTCTCCTCAGCTGGAGGCTGGATCCCACGCCACTCGCGCTCTGGATGGCACCTCATATGCCCAAACAAAGCCTTCCAAGACAAGAATTCCTTCCCACATTCGGTGCAGGACTTGGGAAAGTCCTCAGTCATCGAACTCGTCTTCTTCGTGATTGCCGAAACTTGCACTATTGTCGTCACTGCTCCTGCTTCTTTCCCAACCTCCTGGTCAATCAGCTTCCTACTTCGCTTCGGATTGCGCCTCAACGTATACTGGGGGTGACACTTGTGGAAATTCAAAGATTTTGCACTGCTAAACTCCTCATTGCAAATCCCACACCTGTACTGCGTGGCATCTACCTCGTCTCCGTCTCCATCCTCATCACCATGCAACTCCTCCGAACTTGACGACCGTCTCAGCTCCTCCCTATCCTCAACTCTCTTCCTAATCCCCCTCGCGTCTTTATCGACCTTCAAATCCGGAGTAGCTCCAGTGTGAGGATCCAACTTGGCCGATGATCTTTGGGATGTAAGAGAACTAGACCGCGTCTTTGCCGTGCTCACTCTCCGAATACGGGAGCAAAGTGCGTCGCTCCGGCGGAGGCGCGAGAGTGGATGATCCAGAGAGCCCTCATGTGTGGAATGGTTGGTGTTGCTCGCATTGCCCCTAGAACTGCTCACCTCAGCCTTGAGGTAGTAGTCTTCAGTGCCAGACTCTCTCTCAATCACTTCACCGAGCTCGCCTTTCACCACTACACTGATATCGCCTTCACCTGGCTGATCAATGTCCATACCTGCATGCACCAGTAAGCCCTTCCAATGAGACAGTGCTTAAACCAATCCCCAACTGCTTTACAACAAACTAACCCATCTCCAAAACTAACCCAAGTGCAGTGGCGGACGAGAAGCGTCACAGCGTGTCTCAGCAAGATACTGAGCTCACATCGCGATTGAAGGCGTTAATCCGAAACGCATGCAGAAAGAGAGCACGCGGAGATCATTGAGCTTTAATTGAATGAAATAATATAGAAAAGAGAGGAGGAATTAAAAAATAAATAATAAGAATAAATAAGAAAAAGAAAGAAGAGGAGGAGGAAGAAGAAGAAGCAGCAGAGGGGAAAAACAGGCAGTAAGAAGAAGAAGAAGAAAAAGAAGAGGCCTCTCAGATACACAAGAATGGAAGTACATGAGCAAGTAGAGGTGAGTGCGATCCATGCATGGGGCATGTAGCTGCGAATATGAATTTCACTTCCACATAACTAGAAGCTTTTCATGCAAGTAAAATAGGCAGGACACAGTTAAGTCACTCCAAACTAGTTCGTCGAGGGTAACGATCAGGACAAGGCAGACAGACGAAGACGTCGGGAGCTGGCAGTTCCGCAAAAACGCACAAGAACTGTGCAACCGCATCCTACTTCCACACGACCAGCGACGAAAGCTAAGCTAGCGTGAAGGATCGCCTGCCCTGAAGCGCAGAGTGACAGGTCGACACTCGATGAAATCCATTACAACGAAACTAGCTCCCTCTAATCTATCCAACTTCTTTCTCGACTTCGATTACTTCAAAGTGCAAGTGCAAGCTTAAGAGGACGCTAGTTTCGCTACCATCGACCGGCACATGACCTTCGCCCAGCACAAGGGCTACCCCTCCACTGTTCAGCTGAGCATATTCTCTACAGTAGCGCACACGCTTCAAATTGTAATGCGGAAAGTCGAGAAAAAGGCGACGAGGGGAGCTGAAAGTATAGCTCCTCTAAGCTCCAAGAATTGGAAAAAAGCGAAACAGGCATACGGCCTGAGTTAAGCTGACCTCACGAACAAGCTCAAACCTCGAGCTCTACGCTAGCTTAAGCTGACTATCACGGAGCTGGAGTTACAGAGGCCACGACGGCACTACCAAAAGAGAATACGCCAACTACGACGACCGATCACAACCCCGCAACAGACACGAACAAAGCGTGTAACTTCACCCACCCCATCGCAAACGGAGAGACCACGGAAATTGGCGGACATCCCGGCGCACTAAACCTGGGGACCAACAGCTTGACCTGCGTCTCCACACCACCTCAACCAACTAGGAGCTGAACAAAGGCAGTCTGTGCAGACGAAGCGCTTCCTTAAGAGCCACGACACTCATCTCAGCTAACCAAGAGCTCAACCTCACTACGCAATCCAACTCCAGTTCCAAAAATACTCATCTCTAGTGATCTCCGAGTTCCCAAATCCCCTCCTATCGCTTCGACAAGAACAAGAGTAAGCGGGCTAAAAACGAGCAGATAACTGGGTGAGCTCACCATCAACTGCGGAACCTCCCAAATTATCGTCCTCCGTCTTCTTCCCACCACTGACGCCACTCTTACACGCATTGTCGGCAACGGAACTTGCTCCTCGTTCCATATCCTCCCCCTCAAGATCCATCCCCCGCTCCTGATCCGCGCTTCTCTTCACCTGATCCGTCGCCCTCCCCTCCCAATCTAGCTCCGTCCCTGCCCTCTCCACACATTCACTACCGTCTATCATGCTTGTGGAACCCGACCTCTCAGCTCTCTCTATCTCTCGCCCCCTCTCACCTCCTGCGAGCTGATCCTTCATCTCTGGAAAAAAAAATACCACAACAGCTGCAACCCTACTCGTACGTCACCACTCCTACCATACCCATTACTCACAACAACGCTCCAAACACTCTTCCTGCACAAAACAGTAGTCACCGGTAGTGAAACTGGAGCTCGACAATCCGGGCACGAATGAGCCCACTTGAGGCACTTGCCGGAGGATGGTCTGCGGTGGAATCACTAATTGAGCATGATGGTTGGAGAGAGTACGTGTGATGACCGAGGAGCAGACAAAGAAGAAGGAGAGTTGCTTGAAGTCTAGGTGGGCGAGAATTGAGGCGCTCTTTCTGCGGCACCTCGGTGGGTCCCAAAACTCTTAGCAGCAGTTCTGTCGTAAGTTACCAAACACGCCCCTCAATGCCAACCATCAGCAGTCTCGATAAGAGCCGCTCCTCCTCGTACTAATCGTCCTCCGCACTCATTCCTGCCTTTTCTTTGCAGACATGAACGCTAACAGTGAATGACAGATCGACACCTACTAGGCGCCGCGGCGTAACCGCGACGATTCATTTCTCATGCAAGCTCCCTCTTGCGCACTGCTCTGTCGGTACTCTTCGTAAGAAGGTCACTCAAATTCGTGGGCGGGCGGGATAGTGTGAGATTTCACAACTCAATTCTGCCGTCACAATGCTCACGTTTGAGCTGATGGAGCCCACAAACGAGATAATCGCGCAGATTTGACGGCAGAATCGTAGCTTAAACGAGAGACTCTGGAACGTGTTCCCGCAAACCCACAGTAATCCCTTGCGTAATGTGATCGATTATGAAAATCCCTTTCGTGGCTACCCCCACTCCCACTCGCTCCAGTCTCTGTCGGTGTGGTTACGACGCCGCTCGAGAATGTGAGTATTAACCCCAGCGCATTCATAGCAGCACGAGTGCCACCAGAGCTTGCAATTCGAATGGAGGCTCACTCATCACTTAGAGCCACGAGAGGAGGCTGAATTTGCGCGTAAGAAGTACTAATTCATTTCACGGCACTGATTGGTAGCATTGGTTCTGGAGTTCTGCCGGGAAGCGTGAAGATCCCAACCACCTACCCCGAGTCAAACAGCATTGGCGCTAACTGCCATAGACCTCGACAGCGTTCGCCATAATAACCACAGTCATCGATTCGATGAGCAGGAATCGCTCCGTGCTCTGAATTAGTGATCACTCCACGTCCTGACGCAATCAAACGACATCACTCTTCGCACCACATCCCACTGGATCTACATCCGTCCACAAGAAAGCTGAAGCAGATTAAAGCCAAGCCAGGCCAAGGAAAGCCTTGCCACAAGATTATAAAAGACAGCAATCCACTGCAAGCGTTAACTGTCCATTACTGACCTCGGCCCTGGGTGAACAACAATCCAGGGGCGATCCCGCAATCGATAAACACACCCAAACTAGAAGCCCTCGATGGGAATTGGTTGCAGCAATAAACTAGGTCACAAGCGCCAGCCGTGAACCAATCGATCATCCGTCGACCACACCACATCAATGCAATATGCTTCCAGTGCATTACGTCAGTCCGAACAACTGACAGAAACTGAATCTCCACCTGGCGTTCCTCTACCACCTCAAGGCGGCCCCACCCCTACCCCAACCTCGAATTCGGACGTCACCACCAAAACATTGAATGCATCAAATAAAAAAAAAAAAAAAAAAAAAAAGGAAATAAAATGAAATAAAAGGAAATTAAAGGCCAAAATTGCCTAATGGATGTCAGGGACACCCTTTGGGCTCTCCGGGTGGAGTGCGAGATCAAAGTCCAAACCCCATGATGTGCTACTTTTGGCACACGATGGTGGCGCAAATGCGTCAGGAAAGCCGCTACTCCTCATCACCGCCCCCCTGTCCCCTGGCCTCCCGTTCGTGGGCCAAGCAGGTTTTCTAATTCCGGCTATAAGGTGGCCCCCGACGCCCTCTCTCGCTCGTTTCCGATTCCCTTGTACTGGGGACTCAAGACCGGTCTCCTTCTGCTTCTTCTTCTTCTTCTTCTTTGTCGTCGTCATCGTCGCCTTCATCATCTAAGTTTTCCTGCTCCACACCCACGGAAATAATTTTGTTGCTGCCGTTTGGGTGGATTGAGATGACCGGCATGAGTTTCCATCCATCATGAAGCGTGCCTTCGGGGGCAGAGTTTTGGCACCACCAGACTTTGACTTGCAGCCGGTTGACCACGCCACTCATTCTGCATGGGAATCGTTTCGCAGGCAATCGGAGCATATTCGGTTTCTGAGCCGATGTACATCATGCACACGCCTTTGTGGCACTTTGGGTTGCATCATCACATAAGAAAGTAAAAAACGAATAAACAGAGAGTTAGATAGATAGATAGATAGATCGATAGATAGAGTGGTGGTGGTTGTTGAGGATGTCTGCTCCGGTGGTCAAATCCAAGCGAGGAAATGGGCATTCCCCTCCGGAGTTGCAGACAATCCACCGCATTCTAGTTTAGCTCCTTTCAAACTAGCTTCCATCTCTTCGTGGACATGAATGAACGATGTTGCCTCTCCTACACTCATGGAAAGTCATCCGTGCTTCGCAAATAAGAACAATAATAAGAATAATATTCAGTAATGGGCCGAGGTGGCAACAGCAAAAATTCCTGATGTGGATGCTTATTTTTATTGTTATTCTCCACATACATTTATGATAAAGAAGAGCCAAGAAGAAACTCCCAGAATTGAGAGGGGAAACGTTACAATCATTCACCGGGAAGACTAATACGTAAGCATGGGAACACGGCGTGCACGTACAGATAGATCTATTAATCTGGAAGGAGAGGATAGGCGCGACACCAGAAGTAGGCGGACCCGGGAAAGGGAGCTATACTAAACTAAACGAAGAGGCCGGGAGGGAGACGGAGACCGGGGACGGGGACCAGAGACCGGGGGAGGTTGACTTCCGAGCCTGGCACAACAGCCCTGAAGCGGAAAAGAAGCTTCGAGGCTCCTGCATTCCCCCCCACTGGAGGGGAGGAATGGTGGGTGGCAATAAGGATAGGAGATGAGAGAGGAGGAGGAGGAGAATGAGCATTAAAAAGAAAAAGAAGAAAAAGAAGAAGGGGTTCCTCCCACCCCTACCGAGGAGGGAGGATGGGGAGAGTGGCCCGGCCCATGATGGTGGGCAGGGTGTGCCGGGGTTTAGGGTGCCCTCTCGGAGTGGAACCAAGGGAACCTGGCATGTGCCTCGGGGGGGGTGGGGTGACCGGTAACCGGGATCGGGATGGCGTGGCACCTGACAGCTGTGCAGCCTTCAAGTGGGGGGAGCCCAGTAATGTCCTGGAATAGCAGCGTGGGGCATGGGCCTGCTTGATTGGCCATGAATACTTCCCCCGAAGCATTTATCATTCATGAAGAAGAAGAATAGCACATTATGAAATAGAAGAGATGTTCCTCCCCAACTGTAACATTTTCTGAACTTTTGGATTCTGATCCCACTTAAAGAGAGAGAGAGACACCTCTCAGCCATTTGAGACTATATCAATATATATATATATATATATATATATATATATATATTTATACAGATAGATATGGGGATTATAATTACTTATTTATGTTAATATGTAGGAGTGATTTCATTGAAGGAGGAGGAGGGCATTTTGCTGCTGCTGCTAGTGTGGCTTCAAGGTTTGCATTGGGTGTTTTTTCTCTCTCTCTCTTGACTTTCTAGTGTAAAGCTGCATAGAATTTCAACACTTTGGGATATATATGTATTGTGTTTACAAGTATTGAAGCTGACCAAACATATATTTTTGTTTTTCCCTTTATATATACATAATTGAGGTGGACTGTAGGTGTGTGCAGATGGATGCTATTTGTGTTTTCTAAATATAGGGAGGGGCAAGCCCCATCCTGAGCTGACCTGACCCTGACATTGTGGTAATGGTTGTAATGGTGAGGAGGTCAAGAGTAGAGAGAGTTGAGCAGAGACAAGAGGAGAGAGAGTATTCTTCTCCTACCCCAATAAATCCTCTCCCTTTCTTCTCCCCCACCTTTGTTAATTGATTTCTCCCCTTCAGATGGGGTGGAAACAAGGGGGGGGGGGGGTAAGGGACCCATCTTCCTGGATCCATGGCACAGCATCCTTGGCACATGGGGGGTGGGACTGGGTGAAAGGATAAATGGCTGCACCATAATAATAGACTGCTAGTGAACAATTTGCTACAGTAGAATAGAGGCACCCACAAATGCACCTTTCCCTCTCTCCTTTTGAGCATATGCAGTAAGTAGTGTGCCAACCTCTGCAATTCTGTGTGTTATCTCATCCTAGTTGCACCTTGAACCTGAACCACCAATGCAGAGCAGCCCTAATTCTGTCAACCAACCCCAGTTCTTCTGCTTCTTCTTTGCAGAGTGATTGGAGGGGGTTTATGTGTGGCTTCCACCACCCAATCCCTTCTCCAAGTAGTCTCGGCCCCAATTCACCTACTGGCCATTAGTAGGTGGCTTTTTGGGAGTTTTGGAATCACATTCATTCATTCACTTCTGTGTGAGTGTATATTTGCATTGAAGGATCTCTCATGGCATGACCCTCTGTGCACTTAAAAAGATATGCTGCCTCATGTCATCAAAAGCCCCTTCTATTCTTTTGGATACTATCTTCCTTCCACATTGTTATGACTTTGCAGCTGTGGCAGAAAATGTGCTTTGGAATCATACAAAATCTAGGAATTATGGTTTCAAGTAAAGTATTTTAAAATCTAATTTTAGGGGGAAAGGAAAGGGAAAGTGTTCTACTTTCAGTTTAAACTATATTCATTGTTAACATCAACAAGATAAAAATATTATTAGGATAATAAAAATAATGTTAAGCAACTTGTAGAAAAACAACAATGCGCAGGATAAATTGGAAATCCAGATATTCATTTAATTACTTTAAATTTTATTATTTGTCACTGTTATTATTATTATTATTATTAAGTGTATATATATACATATGTATATATGGGAACATTTCATGATTGAGTCATTATTGATTTATTTATTTAAACTTTCTTTTGAGTTGAAGTAATCAGGGTAGCAAAAGTTCAACTGATGTCCTTTTCATTAATTGTTGACAAAAACAAGATGAAAGAAGAAAACATGTGATGGATCACTCATAATGTGATGCAAATTGGAGGTGGAATGGAGAAGGGTTGTTGTTGTTGTTGTTGAGTGGAGTGAAGGCTTCGAAACCTCTTCCCCTCCTCCTCCAACTCTTTCAAGGCTATTAAAGCAAGAGAGAGGGGGGGGGGGAGAGGGAGGTGTATTGACTTGGTGGTCGTGGTGGTGTGACTTTGTCCTATTTCTTTCTCCAGTACCCACAGAGGATGTGCCATGTTCCATGAACCCAATAAACGGCCTGCAAAGTTGGCATGTTGGTGGTGATGGACATGGAAGGTGAGGGAGGGAGGGAGGGAGAGCCCAGTGCCTCACTCCCACTGGCATGGAGTTGCTCACAACGCAGCCAGGCAGCCTCCTGTGGCTCCTTCATTCACTCGCTGGGAGGGAGGAAGGGAGGCTGGGTGCACTGGCACCACTGGAGACCTGATTTGTGACGCCATGACTGGGATCCGTCGCAGCAGCAGTAGCACCTCGGCAGATCACACACAAGGTGGGCACGCACGCATGCAGCAGCCTGGGCCCGCGGAGACACCTTCCTCATCCGGGAAGGGAGGGGGGAGGCTTGTCATGAGGTTTTTGTGTAGTAGCTCCTCATGATTGGAGGGACACGGTACCAAAATAATCCACGGCAAGTGACCTGTGCTCTCTAAGGTACCCACCTGCAAAGCCCACACCCCCACCCCCCTTGTGTGCGCAAAATCCCCACACCCCTTATCTTTCCTTCCCAGTGCACTTCCATTCCCCTCTACCCCTACCACCCCTACTACCCCTCCTACCCTACGCACGAGGAGTAAGAGTAAGAGTAAGCAACTTTTTATTCACACTCAGCACTGAGCTACCTTTCCATGTGCGTGGTGTTCCATGAGGGCAGGTATGCATGGTGGTCCACACCTGCACTATACCTGCGAAAGTCTATCCGTAACAGCGCATCGGAGATGATGGGGAAAAACTATTCGCCCATTTCTTGTTGTTGTTGTCCCAAACGGAGGAAAAATTCTATTCTGCGGTGGATCTACTTACCAATCTAGTTATCTAGCTTTCTTTCTATCTATCTATCCACGCCTGTGTGAGTGCGGCAGGGAGGGAGGGGGGACAAAACTGGAGGTTCCACAAAGTTCCACGAGGAAAGCTTACAGAATTGATAGGTGTTTGATCCACCCAGTCGATTGGCACTTATTAAGGCCCAGGGTTCTTGTTTGGCAATTGAGACGGTCATGATAGAGCTCGTCTTCCAGCAATCAGGCGGCCCCAATTGGCAGAACACTGTGATTTGGTTCGGTGAATGTTCAGAATACCCGTCTAATTGCTAATGGATGCATTTACCTGTGCAAAGGCAAGGCTTCACAAAGGTTTCAGAGTGGGACGCAAGGCCCACCCGCTTCCCACACTCACCATTGGGCCCTCCAACGGCCAAGATGGGATCCTGACCTCAACCCTAATGAAAACCAACTACCATGCTAACCTGTTTGACTCCAATAATGGCACTGCGATGAACTGTGGAGCATGGAAAACGGAGATTTACACACTGTTTGTGTGCGTTGGCATTCAACTCATTCGTGCTCAACAACAGGTTTCAGCCACAGTGTTTGCCCCACAAAAGCAGAAGGCGGAACTGCAGAAGCTGGCATCATTTTAACTTGTGGGCATCATTTTAACTTGATGATACTAAAATCAGCTCCATGGAAGAAGAATATGCATTTTAAAACCTAAAAATAACCCCAAAATTAAATTCTTAAGAACAGTAAAATTGCTCATGCTTACCACTCATAATGTATTCTTGGTGTCGGATTGTTAGCCCAATTCTCCGCGCAAATAGTGAAAGGGTGGACATTTTGTTGGTGGTCTTCTGCAACTTCCTGGTTGAAACATCGGCAGTGCACAAGATGGTCAAAATTATTGACACCCCTATTCCTGTCAATGATGAGCTACAGGTTGGAGGGTCTTACGAAGGAGCAATAAATCAGAAACAAATAAAACCATCCACTTCGGCTGTCGCATAATCACCAAAATAACTCAGACGAGGTGAAGTACAGAACAGTGGCAAAAAAGCATCCACCGGCGCACGTAGTTTTCCCTCGGCTTTTTGAAGGGGATGAGAGTATCAAATTTTTAACATGGTAGAAACACAGCAGCCCAAGGAACCATTGTCTTGGGACGTTGTCATGAACACTTCTACTTCTGCTTTGAGCTGATTCTCAAGAGCAAAAGTTCCCTCATGCCGCTGCTGCCGTTGCATCTAGAGACGCATCTGATGATGTTTCTCCTTCAGATTAATCCGGTGCGTTTGGTTCTTCTGGGCATTTCTCACTCTGGCTTCAACGGCTTGGGCCAGAATTTGAGATTTCTCTATTTGCCCTACTGGTTCAGAGATGATAAGACGGCAATTTAGACATGCGTGTTCAAACACTAACAAAAATAAACGTCCACGGGTTTCTGGTGCTCCTGTTCACCATTGGAGACGTCGGTCTGGTTGTACATTTCTGACTGCTTAAGTCTCCATTTCTGACACAGCTCCCCGTGAGACTCCTGTTCGTAGTCCTCTCTCTCTCTCTCGATCTCCTGTTCCTTTCGTGAGATCTCTTCCTGTTGCTGCAATCCGTCTATCATGGTACATTGTCTTAAGTCATTAAGCTGCATCCCAGTACCACTACGCCACCATAGATTGTTCAATTTCAAGTCAATATGTGATGCTGAACACGGTCATTAAGAGGACAAAGCATGATGAGACACACTACTCTTCATACCAAAAACTTTTATGTATATATAAATATCTGATGCCTAATGCAGTGTTTAAATAATGAACGAATTCTACAGCATGATTTCACTTCAACACTACACATGTTTTGACATCATGAATGAACACCCGAGTCAGCAATCAATTCCACAGTAGACAAACATAAACCCACTTGGAGGGTGGAGATGCCTGTGGAGTCATTTTCCTTCCGTTAGTGCGTAAGAGGTTGTTTCTCAGCGCGATGACACGAGATTTCAAGTTTTTGCCCTTGATATTAGAGATCATCAGAGTCCACGAGGCTAATCTTCTTCAGTATCTTGCTTAAGTCCTGCTCTTTCTCTACGATCGTTTCCAGATGATTCTCCTTCATGTCATGATCGTTCATGAGCAGCAAGAGATCTACCACAACCTCGTGCAACGACATGATGTTGTACTCGGTGAAGTCCCTTCTTGTGAAGGATTTCTAGAGCTTCATGATACTCAGAAAAACGTGGTCAGTGGCGGTCCGAGTTGTGATTTTATTCATAGCCCTCATGAGATGCAATGTGTAGTTCTCACATTCATACAAAATGTTGTTAGACGACTGCCTTGTGCTATACATGTCCAGGATATCCTGGTAGCAGTAGTAGAGATAGAGTAGATGCAGTATAGACTGATATGACCCAATGAAAAATACAAATGATACGCTGTAGCTGTGTGATGACAATGGCAGTCCTCGATGTCTTTTCCTTGTTTGCAATGTAACCACACACAGGATCCGAGTCTCATCTTCTCCTGCGAAGGAAAACCTTCGGTAACATTACAGAGTGTCTATGCATGCAAGGATTTCGAAACTGAGCTCGTGAATTTGCTTGCACAGCTCTTGCTTTGATCTCCGAGAATGATTTTATGCTGTTTCTCGTATCTGCAGATGCAAATCACCATAGCAATAAATTTCATACGCATTGGGAGGAGCATGAACAAGATGATGTGTTCCGTGTTACTATTCCATTGTGTAAATTAGTGACAAAGAGCACTTCACCTTTTACATCATCTTCACTTCAGGCCTTTGCATGAGTAACCAAATTTTTTAGTGTTCTTAACCAGTTCAAAAAGTTTTTCAGTTTTTTGATACTCAATGACCCATAGATGCAAATCATTCATTTTGAGTTCTTCCAAAAAAGAGAGTACATTTGTCTTATTTCACCTAACTCTTGCATTCTCTTAGCTTTCTCATAGAGTCATACTTAAGTATTATTCTTTATTTAAAAAAAAGATTATGATGTGAAAAATGTATCAACTACAAAATCCTAAACCTTTTCGAATAAAATTAAATTCATTGCATTAGTAAAATAGGTATTAGGTTACAGAACCAATTCACATTACTACTAGTTCATAACACTTATATCTTGTTATATATGTTGTTTTTGACATGACTCCTTCTATTGTTCTATTTGATAGTACTTTAACTCAATCTTTGAGTTCAAAAGCCTTTTCTATTTGATCAGTATCATAAATGATTTATAAAAAAATTATTGTAGCTAGTGAATAACTGTTGATTAAAATGCATATTCCACTCAATTTTTCCAATATGGCATTCTCTACGTATTTAAGATAATTTCCACTTTTTGATTAATTATTTTGAATGGAATTTAGTTTCGTATTTTTTCAGATTTAATGATGGATTATGGAATTCAAAACATTATATAAAATAAAAATTTTAAATTAGACATAAAATTTTAATATTTTCTTTTTGGTGTGGATTAAGTACAAAATTTTCTAATTTGGATCAGAATCAAAGCCATTCAATTTTAAAATATATAAGTTGATTTCATATTAAAATTTAATCAAAATTTCTCTTTCATGTTTCACTTATTTAGAACATTAAAAGACAATAAATTAATCTCTTCTAGGTTAAGTTTTGTAACTATTTAAGAACTGTACAACCACATGAAGGTTGAATTCTGTATAACACAAAGACTCTAAAAAAATCAATATTGCATTTTAAAGTAATGCACTCATAACAAAAAAATCCAGTATTGATTCCGCATGTATTTAATTTTTTAAAGATATGTTTTGGGATGTATCATGCTTCGGTGTTCTGACAATGCTTTGCAATTAATACTCCACCAAACTACTACTATCAGTTTTTACAACTTCTATGACATCGAACTCATTTCTTATTCTACTTATCAAAGCACATTTTCAAACAAAAAAACGTAGCACAACCTCCTCCAAAATAAATGCCATTAAAAAATAATAGTTTAATTCACAATGCCATGCAGATTTGATTTCCTCCGAAATGTCAAACCAGACACAAAAACAAGCCAAATCAAACAGGGAGACACGTACTCGACTTCATTGCTTAGAATTTTGTCAAAAATAAAAATACAGAATACAAAAAATAAGTACATAAATGTATGATAGTAAAGGCGAGAATCTTACTCACTAAAGGGTAACTGTTCTACAAAACTGACACGAGCTCAATGCATCGCCAAACGGGTTGATGATGATGGTGATGGCGGTGATGTGGAAGATGCGCTCAACACAATCGTTCTTTCACGAATTGGAATCTGAAATCTTCAACACCTTGAAGTGAGAAAAAAGAAGGTTGCCGAAGTTTTACGACTTTCCATTGCCGGAGATATTGGAAGCGCGAATCTGCACTGGAATCGGTCTCCCAGTCCCGGAGCCACCGCAGCTATTGCAAACCATCTTCCCCGACCCACTGCACGTACTACAACCCACGTCGTCATCGGACCACCTTGTGCACATGCACGGCACTCTGCGAGACCCATTACAAGTTGGGCACTGCCTTCCTCCGATCATCGGTTTCTGCTTCTCTTCAGCTTCCAAGATGGACTTCACCAGCCACGCGCTGGCAACAAGCGAAGCGCCCTGCACCACCTGGACCATTCCTCCTGGACCCATCCTGCCACTCGTGACCCCAACTAGAAATTCAAACCAAAATTGGTTCTCTCGCCCTTTGGGTATAGTTGTTCCTCCTTATTTCACCCCAATCAAGTACACTTCACAGCGTTCGTGCGTTCCAGTAAGTGCTCAAAGCTTTCGTCGCGACCACTTTCAGCCTCAAGTCTCCTCAAAATTCGCAAGCGCTGTTCTAGAAATTGCTACTAGTGTGCGTCGCAAAGTATCTAGCTCGAATTGCGACGCACTGAATTATCGACAAATTGATATGATTGACTAAAAGAGCAGAGCCCAGAGATAAGCACCTGTTCCTTACAGCTACAATTCCTCTGTCCTCGCCAAAACCAGTAGAGAAACCCCAGCCACCCGCCCTGAGACCTTCCCAATCTCCCACAGAAATCGACCGCACTTACATCCAAGACAGGACTCAGAATAAGAAGTGAACACCGTAATCAATTCCACCAGGCACCACGCTCCTACCCAACAACGAACACTCCGGCAAATAGCGAAAAAACGGCCACGAATTGGTCTTTCCACCACCACCACCACCACCACCGCCTCGAGACTGGATCACAGCACTCCGCGCTCCAACGAAGGAAACCCAATTTCCGAAATCAATCAACGGAGTGAATCAATAGCAGAATCTAAACAAATGAATCAATAAAGCAACTAAATAAGATACTATCGGAGCGGGATACCCACATTCTGACCTTGGAAGTCACGCCACCTGGGGGGGGGGGACGGGATTAGGATGAGCATCTATCACCGCCACCACGTTCTCCACATTGATTTCCTTTCTCCGTGGCGGAACAGCGTGGCCCTAGTTCACTGGTCAGCTTCCGTCCTACTTGGATATTCCTCCTACAGCCGTGCGCTTATGTGGCGACCAGGTGGCCCGTTTTCGTTTCTTCAACGATCTCCGATATTGCCCTGTCAGAGTCGTCGACGTGGCGGATTCGGGGTTGTGCATTGGACGGGTGTCGCCAGCGCATCGCCGACGTGGCACCGTCGTCGGCCCTCGAAGGATTCGTCCACGTTCCCACTTAGGGCGTCTGTAGCCGCGCACCACCACAAGCTCCTCTTACATTAGACTTGTGCAAAGTTATTCTATAAATAACATGGACTGATTTAGTATGTTTCATCATGAGAGGATGGTGGTGTACCACGTTGGTGCGTTGTATGTAGAAGAGTTAAATTGGTTGTGTGTGTGTGTGTGCATGCATTTCAAATATCACCACTAATTGTGGTAGAATTGGTGTAGAGATTTAAAGTTATCTAGAGGTTTAGTAATGTTTAAAAAAATATTGAAATGCTATAAAAGTTATAAATCTTCTACTTATTACTAAAATGGATTCTTATTTTTGTTTAAAATGTTCAAAATTTAAAATAATTTTATCAAATAGATTTTTAAAAATTTTTAAATGAAATAATTGATGCTTGAATCTAAGATTTAAACTATTTTGAATAATTTCAATAATTATTGGTAGAGTTGTTTTACAAAAAATTTAGATTCAATAAACACTTTTGAAATTTAATTAAAACAATCTTAAAATAAAAAATAAATTAGATAATTGATATATTCTAGATTGTTGGAGTATGAGTACATATCATGGTATGTGACACTAGTTAAAGTTAAGAAATTCTTGTACCAAAGTGATACATTTCTATAAGAAAGTAAGACATACTGTTGATAGTTTAAAAATCATGCAAATTAGAATTAGATTGTTAATCAAGTAGCATATTAAAATCTTGGATAGTAGTCTTATTATACACCCATCAAATTTGAGCAATACAGACAATACAAATTGTTAAGATTAGGCAAAGACTTGCACCTCTTACTTGCACCTCTTACTTGTTAGTTAAGTATCAGTGTGGAAGTTGTGATTGAATAAGAAATTCATTTCATAATTATTAAAATTTTAAATGGGGTTAAAAATAACTTCACCGAAAAATGTTTTAAAAAATATAAATAAAAAATATATACATGTATAAGGCGTAGAATATGTCGAAGCTTTGCATAGGCCACTTCTCAGACGAGGCGAGGCTACATCCTGCTTCACAAGGACCCCTGTCAACAGCGAGAGAAGGAAGAAGAGAAAAAAAAGGAAAAAAAAGAAAAGAAAGGTAAAAGCACCATTTTTGAAAAATCACAGTGAAAGGTCAATCTCAGCAGGGTTTGATCACTAATTTGGATGACCTCCTTGCAGATAGCCGTAAATTAATTAATGCTTCAGATGGATAAAATTACTTGTCTGACTTCCTTCTCAGGTGTTGAGTGGCTCTGAGTGGCTCTGAGTGGCTCGTCAAATTTCCTTAACGGAAGTCAATTGGGAATGATTTTTCCTCAAGTATGATTCTATGGGCGAGTAGGCGAGGTGCCAGAAATTAAAAGCAACCAATTGGACAACCTCACGCAAATGCGCAAAGGGGATAAGTCCTGTCAAGATCGGCAACACAAGCACCATAGTGACATGAAACCAGAATCGGCGCAACCATGGCTTCATGAAATATGTCTGCCGCTGCCACTGCCACTTCCCAGTTACACTTTCCGGTGTTCCGTTCAAGATTCGGTAAAGCGTCGATGTGAAGCACGTTCCCAATGTGTGCACCAAGCAAAATGCTTCCCACATGAGCAGCCAATGGTACCCTGAGCCTCCCAGACTGTCTACCGCCAATTTCCCTGCAAATCCACAAATTCCGCCGAGCACGACAATGAGAATGGTGGCGGGCATAGCCTGGCTGTTGCTGGCTACACTTTTGCGCAGTAGCGCAGCAGCGACGAAAGAGATAATCCCTAATCCTAATAACATCCGGCTCGCCACTGTGACCTCGCACACGAACATGTGGAGCCGTGATGACATGTGGTTGAGTGAGTTGACCACCGTGTTAAACCCTGGAACGTATGAGTTGCTTGGCTCCTGCAGATACACATTGAAACAGTCACAACTCATGTATCACTCAAGTAAATACCATCCATAAAGTCACATGCGGTAAGACGATGAAAACACTATCAAGTAACGGCACGAGAGGGTTGCTTACATAAAGGGTAGGTTGGCAAGTAGAAACGATATCCACAAGACGCTCGTGAGAATATTTCCAGGCGCCGAAGAAGAGAGCACACAGCATCACACACAACCCTGCCACCATTTCATCAGCGCAACGCTTCGCGAAGATGGCGTGAGCAGCAGTTAACTTGCGGTCTTGATACTCCGCTTCTTTAAATTCTACTTTGTTACGACTCAGATCCACATGCTCTCTCATCAGAGTGTTGTTCTCAGACGCGAGGTGCAAATTAGCCTCCTTCAAGTGAAGCTCCCGAAACTTCAAGTTGAGTTCCATCTTTCGGAGCTCCATCTCCTGCTGCGACAGCAGGATCTTCTGCTGCTGATAGCACGTCCCGCTATCATAGTGCGCAAGACTTGACTCAAACACGGCCACAAGCTGATCATTTGATGTGGTTTCAAACGGCTGCATTGCAAGGTCGGCATCACCAGGTTCAAGCGAGCTCCCCCTCTCCTGTCGGTAAATTTGCTGGTTTGCTGTTTGTTTCTCTAATCCGCGCCTCTCCAATCTATTTCTAATTCCAATTGGATGGACCGCCAGAGGTACACGGTGACCGGTCCCTTTCTCTGACAACCCTTCAGATACATCATCGAGCCCCACGCTTGAGCTAATGTCGTCAGGTTCTCCAAATACTTCCTGATCAACGCAACTAGAATTTTCACCATCAGAGGAGGCGCCCTTTACGTCCACACTCTTAGCCACTGCTTCGAGTCCGTGGACTGGGAGAGTTAACTTGCTGAACTGGTCTGCAAGATCCGCTTGAGGGTCGGGATGCTTGCGATTTGGGAGTCTGAATCTAGAATTAAACGCTAGGTCTAGATTTGCTTTCTTTGTTAAGCCACTGCTGTCATCCTCTTCAGCATCTGTCTGCCTGTGACATTCTCTAGATGGTGCTTCAGGACGCCGTTGGGAAACATCTCTACTGTGATTTGCAAAAGAAGATGCAAAATTTCTGCTAGAAGCGCTGCGAACACTTCCAAGAAGTCTATACGTGCTACTAAAAGACTGCTTGAATTGCTCCACAAAACCTGGACATTCACTGCCCATTACCTGCCAAGTAGACAAATGTAAATTTCATGACTGAGTATTCTATATTTATAAAGGCAAGGAAGTGTCATTTGTATTGCCTGCTGAATGCCATATTCCTTGCGTGAGCTGAGAAGTTTCTAGGGAAACATACAAGGTGGAGATAAGATAACTAACCGGCGAAAGTGTCTCTATCAATGCGGCTTCGAGGAGCTGCACAAAACAGAAGATCAGAGTATGAATGCTTCTAGCTCATGCGGCCAGGCTGCAAAGCAGGTAATGTAGCGATTCGTGCATTATTGACCGAATGGTTAAAAAATATCATGGTAAGTTACCCTAATCTGATCTGTGAGGGATGGTCGAAATTTAACGACCTAACAGCGATAAGAAACAACGCAAATAATTGATGGGTTGCACGGATAGCCCTGTGTTGATTCACACCTTGGATAACTCATCAGCTGTTCGAGGTGGCCTTCGACCATCCTCTTGATGCAGCGCCTGTTAATTCAGCATGCACATAATCACAATTTAAGATATGCAATTTCCAATTGTCCACAAAAGCACGCTTCATACACGGCTTTTCATCCAATAAACATTTCGTTGAAATAGACAACAGCCAAATTCAAATCACATACTACAGGTCCGCACCTAATCCGATTACAGATTGAAACGTAATTAGAAACTTCAGAAAAGACAGAAAGCATATCAGAGATAGGGCATTTTTCACCTCAGCCATGACAGTGGCAATAGCCATTCCAAGAGGAGTCGACAGACCTCCAACTTTTACACTTGGAGCCCCAACATCATTGTTTAGTGATGAAAAGCCAGCCTTTGAATATTGTTTTGTAGGTGGGGCAAGGCATTCCACAGCCTGCCCAGTCAAGCCAGACTGCGCCTTTTGTCCCGAAGCTAGTAATTGCGCTCTCTTTCCCCACAAGAGTTTTGTGACGACACCAAGGCATGCGGCCAGCTTCAAAGCGTCCAACAAGTTTTGCAATCTAGTAGTGCTTGACGTGGAATTTGATGCCTCTGTGAGTACTTCCAAGCATCCAACATTCTCGTCACCCGAACTGCATAGCCGCAAACCCAACCATAAGGATAATATTGTGTAGCATATGACCATTTTCCCAGGAGCGCATCAATTGTACAAACACGAATTAATAAACCTCATGATTCAAGTTTTGATCATACATAAAAGAAAGTACCTTTTAGAGATCGAAAGAGAACCAAATATAAGCCCAGATAAGGAGAAGGACGGAAAACAAAACAAAACAAAACAAAACAAAAAAATTGTTAATCTTGCCTGCTTTGAAGAGATCTCGAGGTGTCAGCTTCCCACTTTGAAGCTGAACTCCTGGCAGTGTCTGCATCGCCTAGAGCGTTGTCTCTACCTAGTAAGCTACTCTCCTTCGAAGAGATCCGAGAGGGGGACACCCCCGAATTTTCTGACATATCAATATCCACTCCTGAACTAGTGCCAGATCCTTGCTCCCTCGACACATCAGCATCTGCCAATGTTCGATTCTCATCTGCCAACCCCGGAGCAGAATCTTGAACCCTAGCAGATACTAAACCCTTACCCCCTGTAGAATTGCCATCGGAGCTATTCAAATTTTTGCGAAGCTTCGAGGAGCCACCCGCCAGCGGATCAAAGGGCTCCATCCTGTCCTCAGCGAGCTGAAGGGAGTCGTTCACGTCTGCATAGCTGCTGGCAATCTTCGAGCTCAAACCTGTGGAACTTAAAGCTGCAGAATCGGGCGCAGTGAATTTTTCCAGCGACTCTAAACAATTCAACCACCTCGCAATCGTGTCACCCGATTCACTGCTCCGGATGCACCGCGTGAGCTCGTCCCACTCTGGCGCTTCGTTATTCCAATTCGGTACTCCGGCCAAACTCTCACCCTCTGGCCCAGCTTTTGCATCTAGGTGCGACCGCTGATGCAACCCAAATTCAAGCTCCGCATCAGAATTCGCGTGATGCGGAAACGCCAGCAGAGGCCCAACCTGTGCAAACAGAAGCAACACGACGACCGGCAGAGATACAACGAGGCGAAACTGAATCATACTTCTCCTGCAAATATCTGGCGTCGGCACTGAAGCGGGCATTGATTCTCCAACGCCAACCCTACATCTGCCACCCGGAAAGAGCCAAGCGAAATAGTCTTCCCTCATCTCATGAGAGACATAGGCACGCAGTCTCGTCGCGCCACACCATCGCCATGGGGGCCACCTCACCTAGCCAGATGGCGATCGCAACATTCCTCCGCCCTCAAAATTCGAGCTCCTCCACACGACTCCGCTGGAGATTCACTAGCAACACAGCCCTCACACACTCTCCGAAGCTCGATGATGCAGAACCATGACGATTAAATTTACAAATACCCAACGACTAATGCCGAAACGGCGCGATCTCGGAGCGCGAATGCCCTAACGTAGGTGCCGCAAACTGTTCATAGCCCCTAACAAAACTGTCCGGGGACCGTTGCTACGTGCACAGCGGGGACGAGACAGAGAGATTGTGAGAGAGATTGAGCGTGCTCTCCCTCGCAAATCCCAATTGCGATAAGCACCGCAACGCAATTCAGGGTCCAAGCCTCCTCCTCCACAGCCCCCGCGTTTGAATTGCTTCGGGGACATGGTGATACGCCTCACGGTTACCGGGTCCTCCCTTCCTCGGTGTCTGTCGGCGCCACGGTGCTCGGTGACGGAATCCCGGAACGGTCACTGGGGATTATCTTTTTTCATCCATGAATGAATAGAGCGTCTTGCATAAGCACTCATCTGTACATTCATTTATCCATCCATCCCAGATCCTAGACTTTAGGGTTTTCTCGTCTACAACATTCCTCCGTTGCAAAATTTACACAGAGATCCTTTGCAAGGTTTATTGTTTTTTGAGGTTTGTCACTTGTGTTTACTTAGCTCTTTGAAAGCAGTCTGCTGGAAAATGACTCAACAAGACAACTAGTGTAAAGAATTTCGAAAAGTGATAACAAGTTCTATCATTTTTTATGCTCAATGCACTTTGTAACGTTGTCATTTTCTTCTTAATATATTTCTATGAAAGTATATCTATCAGTCTTTGAGTAATAGGTATAGTGAACATGTTCAACAACCTTGGAAATGAATCTGGAGATAATGAGCTTAAATCATTCTTTGTGCATTTAAAATTATACTTAATTCTTTGATCAAACTTTAATAGCTTTTAGTTCATGAATAGCTGTATCTTGTGTAATTTATACCCATTAACTAATATTGTTTGTTTAGTTGATAATATTTGTTAGAACTGAGATTGTTCCAAGATAATAAACTTACTTTTTACATAATTAATATAATTAATTATAAATATATAAATTTTAATTTTAAAAATAAGAATAAAAAACAAAGTAAAAATATTATGTGAGAATCCACAACTTTATGGTAGCATCAATGTTCCATAGTGTTATATTTTTCTAATGTAATGTGCCACAAGAAATGATCCCATATATGAGAGAAATATAAAAGAGGTAAAAAAATGAACAACAATCAAATAAAGATGGTACATACTTACATGTTGCGACAATAGAACTCATAGGTATAAATACATTTGTTATTATGTTGAACGCCAAGTGCTTAGCCATATTTTCAAGATCTAATCTTTGTCTATAATATTCATCTATGTTGATGATAAGTAAGACAAATATTCTAATATCTTTTTTTGCTACAAAATCATCTATTGAGTTTTGTAGATACAATCTTTTATTTTGTAAGCCTTAATCTTATACTTTTCAATTATTTCTTAAAGACTGACAATAAAACATATGAAGATTTTATTTTAATGGAGATCATGGAGTTCATTGTGGATGTGCTCTTGTTTGTGTTTATGAATGTTTTTCTTCAAAACTCTAGTTATTCTCTATACAATATAATTTGTTACTTAATTTTATTTGCTTTGGTGTCTATGACCCTAGAACATTTTTTGATGCTTTGCAAAGATAAGTTGATTAAAGAAAAAAAATCCAAAATATTTCTTATGACAATCAAGATGAAGGATATTTTGAGGTTGGTTCCTAAGATTCATATTGTGTCATTGAATTGTTGTATTGTGATATTTCTTTTTTTATCTTCTAAAGATGATATCACAAGTTTTAATTTTGGTAATATGATATAGAAATTTTTTCCTTCAATTACTTCTGCCTAAAACTATAAGTGCTATGAATTTAGTTGTAATAAGGGTTTTTTCCACCAAAAGACATTGTTTTTGAATGATGGAAAGATACAACTATCAAAAGATTTTTCTCTATAAAAACACTTAAACTATGAATTTGTTCAGTCCACATCTAATCAAGCATTAGTAGCTATTAATTGAATAGAGATGATTAGAAGGATTTTTGATGAGTCTATCAATGTTAAGATAGAGATCTAAAGAATTGACAACAAATTTGTATAAGAAAAAGATATATTTCAATAGATAATTGACGTACTTCAAGTTTTGGCTTCTTGTTTGTTTGGAATATTAGTAGACCTTTTCTATAAGGTCATTGTTCCAAATCTATTATATAATCCTAGTATTACAAATGATCTATTTTATTTAGTTTAGTCTTTAAATTTGATACATTAAAATTGAGATAATTAAATAATAGAAGCTAAAGTTTTTTAATAACAAAAAATAGACAATAAAAGATTTGTTTTTCTAATTTTAACATAATTATATAATGTAATTTTCTAATAGAGGCTTATCAATATGCACAAAGGCTTGATAAAAAAAGTCAAGATGATATAATTTATAAAATATGTTTGGACTATTTTTCTTCAATAGAAATAATATTCAATTTAGTTGTATATTTTTTGAACAGATCTTGTTTTAGAAGCTTGGTAAAAATATTGACAACTTCATCTAAAAAGGCACATAATTTAAGTGAACTTCTTCTATTTTGACTCTCTCTTAAATAAAGTCATGATATGTTATTATATACTTTGTGCTTAGATTAATGTTGGAATTTGTTGCTATTTTAATGCTCCAGTCATTGTCATAGTAGATGAAATAAGATTGATCTATCTCAAGTATCCAAGTCCCTTCTAATCCAAAGCAACATAAAATCTCATCACAGAATAGGATAAACTGGACCAGAATAAAATTAAACAAAACTTAACAAAATAGGACATAAAAGACAAAACTCAGCAATCGGAATTAAGACAAAATAGAAAAAAACAAGAAGATACAAAATCCAATTGTATTAAGAGAATAGATCTGAAGTCAAATTTAATCAGATGTTTCAAAAGACTCGGGCCAATTCTATTTATATTTTTTCTACTACCTTGGACTTTTCAGAATGTTCCTAGGTGGTCGACCTTATTTTGATAACTACCTTAAATTCCCTTTAGAAGGTTCTATGGTAGACCTTAACTAGATAATCATCCTAAGATATTTTTTTAGAAAATTCTATGATAAGCCCTATCTAAATAATCACCTTAAATTATTTTTAGAATATTCTATGGTGGATCTTATCCAGTCTACTAACCTAATTTCAATTCTAAAAACTTCCATGGCTCTAATTATCTATTCTTATGTATTAATAATATAAATATCTTATCTATATCCTGTTACAATTAATCCCCCTCTACTAATGCAAAATGTCCTTATTTTGCTTCTAATGGTATTTCTGAATTATCTCTTAGCAATGGGTGAGGTTTTGTGTAGGTTTTCATATTGCATCGTGAATAGAATAACCTTTTCAAAGAACTTTGTATTGAAGTTGTGAACATCCATTGCCATAGCAAACGTAGCAATATTCCAAAATACTGTCCATTTCATATTCTTGTTGGTCATCAACTACAACTGGTGGTGGTGGTAGTTGGTGTTGATCCGAAAAGTGTTTTGGCTAAGTATGAAATTCCTTCAATTGCAAAATATAGAAGATTGGATGGCCCTAAATATGTGGTAAAGCTTGAAGCAATAGGCAACATGAAAAATCACTGTAGAAATATAGAAAGGTCAAAGCCACTGAGGTACTAGTTTATAGATTTGGATTGATGTAATAAGTAGTAAGTTGGTATTGGAGAGTAACACCTAATCATCATCTCAAAAGGTCTTGTGTTGCTGATGGTCATTTACACACTACTTTTATTGATTTTGTATAGTAAAGAGGTACTATTGTGCCTCTTGTAAGGCCGTTGTAAGCCATTGTATAAATTCTTCCATGGTCATGTTGTTGGTGTTGATGAGACAATGGAAAGTTGGTGCCATAAACGAATATTAATTGATATTAAAGAAAAATGGTGAATGATTGGAACTTGCTTAAATACTATCATTGTAAGCAAATTCTAAAGGAGTCAAATATTCATTCCAATTATTATGATGAACCACTACAAATGCTCGTAGCATATTTTCTAAGGTCTAATTTGCACGTTCTATTTGTCCATCTATTTAGAAATAAAAAGCTGTAGATTTAGCAAGTTGTGTGCCTAGTAGTTTGAATAAGGCTTGTCAAAAACTTCTCGTGAAACATGGATCTTGACCTGAAATAATGACATGAGGTAATCCATGGTGATGAAAGTTTGTATTAAAGAAGATCTGTTTAAGTACTAAGGCATCAATATCCGAGGGTACCATAATTAAGTAAAGTTGATTTAAGAGTCGATCCACAAAGATAGAAATTGTGGTATAATTATAAAGTGTTTGTGGCAAATATGTTGTTGTGTTGTGATTTGGCTACCATGTGAAAATAATGTGTTTATATGTTTAATGTATAATTTACTTAATAATATGGTAAGAGCCATGTTACTAGATTTTAGTTGGTTGTAGAGTGTAGTTAAATTACTACTTTAAAAGGAAGTTGTTTAAAATGATTACTATTAGAATTCATAAAACTTTATTTCCTTTTGATAGTGAATTTGAAGTTGATCTTATTAGTAGTAACTTTAAAATATTTAGAGTCACCTTTGTTAGATATTGGTGATCCTTAAAGTCTTATTTTGTTTCTCTTATATAGTGTTTAGGACATATATTATATAAATCTTATGAAGAAAAGAGTTGGAGAGGGGCTTTGATAGCAAAAAAGGTAACTATGGCACCTATGTGAATGAATGGAGATGGATGATATAAATCTCTATTCCTATTGATAAAAAATCAGGACTAATGGGCTTCAAGGAGGCTACCTGCGGCCATATTAGGGATTAGGGTTACACTTTTGAATATTCGAGCTTTCAGAGGCTAAGATTGATAATTTCAGGTTTTTGGCTATGATTTTGGTACAAATTTTGAATCAATTGGAGTTTTTATGAAAGAGGTATAAGTGCTTAAAGTCTAGGTGTTGATTTTGTACCTACTATCACTCTTTTGAATATAACACATGTATATAGAAAGAAAAAGAAGATCGGCAACTAATGTTGAAGATAATACTTTTTTGGCTACAATTTTGGTATATTATTTGATGGATTTTAAGTTGAAATGAAGGAGATATTGGAGGTTGAAATTAGCACTTACAAATCTAAGGGTAGTAAGTGACCCGATTCACTAGTAGTTGTATTTTGAGCTATATCTTGAGTAATTTGATGAGATTTTGGCTCAAAATTTCTAAGAATGTATGTAATCATGTTAATAAACTTTATGTACAAATTTTGTAGCATTTAAATTTTG